CAAACTTCAGCGCGAGTTAGTTGCTGTTCACCCAGGATCATACACCCCAGATTTGGCTTTATCACTTGGCAGTCTATATTCCGCTCTTTCGAATCTCGGACGGGACTTGGAGGCGCTCCCATTCATTGAGGAAAGCGTTAAACTTCGGCGCGACCTAGTTGCTGTCCACCCAGGATCATACAACGCTGATTTGGCTTGGTCACTCAACAAACTATATGCCGCTCTTGCGAATCTCGGACGGCACTCGGAGGCGCTCCCATTTGTCGAGGAAAGCGTCAAACTCCAGCGCGAGCTCGTTGCCATTCACCCAGGATCATACACCCCGGATTTGGCTCGGTCACTCAACAGTCTATATGAAGCTCTTTCGAATCTTGAACGGCACTCGGAGGCGCTCTCATTCATTCAGGAAGCTGTCAAACTTCAGCTCGAGTTAGTTACCGTTCTCCCAGGATCATACACCCCAGATTTGGCTTTGTCACTCAACAGTCTACATAACGCTCTTTCGAATCTTGGACGGCACTCGGAGGCGCTCCCATTCATCAAGGAAAGCGTCAAACTCTACCGTGAGCTGGTTGTCATCAACCCAGGATTACACACCTCCAATTTGGATAGGGCACTCAACACACTACGCACCGCTCTTTCTGACCTCGGACGTGATTCTGAGACACTAATTTGAACAACTTGGGTCCCCCTGAGACCTTCCTATTTCCCTTTTCAATCCATTCCCTCGTTTGCTACTTGTAGTGCACACAGCTCAGTTTGAGAATACTGGGGGTTGACATTGATTTTTGGTTTGGGACTACTGACGAAACGTTTATGAGTTTTCTTGACTGTTCGGCTCACAACTGATCGTGATCCTAACTTAATAATAACCCAACTCCATGTACCACGTAATAAGCTTCAATCGCAATCGGATAGGTAATATCCTGACACCACAGGTAGTTCGTAGAACAAATGCCTGTGGAACCATTGCCATTGCATTTGAGTGAAGTGGGAAGTCTGAAGCATGGGGTAGATCGATTATGATGTTCTAGCTCGAGTCATTGACGTCAAGTAGCTGGCCACTTCAGCTCAACCCCGACTCCTCGGCACATATCCTCGACAAGACTCCGCAATTTGCACTCTTTGAGCTGACTGCCGTTCACTGTTTACAACCTACTACCATCAATTCCGGGCATAAACCCGTGTCTGGGCCCAACGCCGCCACTATGTACACTTTGGCAATCCCCATGACCCAGCTAGACCAACAGCCGCACTTCCAATCTATTTGCTCCTTCGAAACCCCGCTACATAAGTAGTTTCGAAGCTATCGTCGGTCAATGGATCGTTCTTCCCTCCATGTTCCTCCAACTCTTCCGTATTGCATGTCATGGAGCAAACCTCGTAGTATGCTGGTATCATAACCCTGTTAATGTGGATAGTGTGAGTTTAAGAAGTCAAGGCGCACAGAGCTCTTGCCCGGGCTGCGGAGTGTCACTGCGGTCGTTGCACGCATTCACATGGAAATCGGTTTACATGAGTATGCACCGAGTCACCATGAAATTGCGGTGCTGGGTACTACTGCTGGTGCCAGGATATGTAGTAAAAACCTATCGCTCTCACCTCAGACTTGTACAAGAGTTCTGAAGGAGAAAAAGACGGTGTCGAACTCGTCGCTGACGTGTCTCAACCGCATAAAAGGCGCACAAAGGGTAGGAAGGCTCAGCACCCTCAAACCTCACCCCGCCGTCCGTCAGTAATGTGTAGGCATCACTCGTCACCACAAAAAGAAAATCTGCCACTTGTTGTTACCTGAATTTGAAACATCTCATTTTCATGTGCAACAGATGGTCGGGATTGCATTCAACTAGCTGAGCCATTGCCAAAGACAGCACAGCATGATTTATTATTCCGCAGAGAAATGTATACCACCTGGGCCATCTCGGCCAATAAATCCCCAGGCAAAGAGAGTTTCGAGGAGGAATACCTCTTCAATGCTCAGGAACCGCGCAGAAGTCGCCGCCATTACGTAGACTACTTTGCAAATGTTGCACTTTTCCGTGAATGCTCCTCGACCAAATGAATGGAGGGAGCAGAGCCGGCGACTCAGAATTACTCTGTAATGGCTATCGCAAATGGTGGGTCGATAAGCAATGCTATAATCTTACACCCACCTGTCAACCCTGGGCCTCCAACGCTTCAGATCGATTGCCCCGTCAGTGCCCCGATGGACACAATTTGACAATCCCGCTTTTTACATCTCCGGGAGTCGGTATTGGTATTCAAGGACCGTATGACCCCACTGCGAAGATCTCAAAATCATTATGCCTCAGTGACCTCAGTGTTAGATCTTCATAACTCTCAGGATCAGATCAGCTGCCACCTACTAGGATTTTCGATCAGTGTTCCAAGTTGGTTTTCGAACTTCACGCCCCAAGGGAACGACCCAGGCAGAAGGATAGCGGTTCCAACTTGGTTGAATCAGAATCGGGAGACTGCTCTATCGCTTAGTGGACTGCATTGCTGAACGAGATCAGAAATGAAAGATTAGTATTGATACTTAACGCTCGACTCGTAGTACTCAACACCATTGCTCCCTCCGAATTTGAGATGTCCCTTGGAAATTGAAAAATTCGGTTTCGTGCGAGTCCAGTTCACTGTTTGTGATATCGAATTGGTAACGTCGAGGAGCTAGTCAGCTTTGCAACATGCAACAGATACACTTCGCGCTGAATCAATATGACCCACAATGAGCGCCACCTAACGAACCTGGTGATGCTCTGCTGTATATATCTGTCGCAATCGCCATATAATCGATGATGATATAGCCGCGAAGGAAAGGGTGATGAAAAATAACAGGGATTGTGGTGTCAACTGGTGGGAGGCCTGGGGTCGCCTCATATGGACCTCAAAGAAGCGGCCCTATAACATATCCACAGGTTGGACGGAGCCCTTGCGACGGCGCAAAGGCCTCGCCATAAGATAACGACTGGAAACCTGATATAAAACTAGTAAATCGGTACTCAGGATCGATAGAAGTTTATGAACCTATCGGCGCCTCAATGACTCCATAAGCTTCTCTGACCACAGCAGCAAAGTTTGTTCCTGTATCGGGGCGCGCAACCAAGAGTGTGCATCCGCATCTCTGGAAATGTCATTGGAAATTATTATTGTTGTACGCGGCAGCAGTAGACGAAAATATGATTGCTGAGTACACATCGGGCCATACACCCGATGATGCATCTGGACGACCTGTCCAGAAGTGGAGAGTATAGGGCCAAATCTCGTGCCGTTGGATGAGTAATCTGGCGAATGACTGCCTGTCTAGCAAGTGGAAGTCGATCCCGCGGCATAGATACCAATCAAACGCCCTGATGGCAATGTAACCAAGCCCGCTTGTACATGAAGAGCGATGCTGCTGCGATGATAGCTCCCTTGTACCTGTTGAGTGGGGTGCCAGGGACCAGAGAAGAATAACCATCCCGAGAACTATGCTTTGAGTACTTGGCAAAATGGGACACAGGAGTGGTGCTTAGAACACGGGCGTTGTGCCTCATCCTCAGTGGCATTGTCACCTGTGTGAGCGGTGAGGTAAGCTGCGTCTCCGCCATTTCACCTACTGCACTTGCGAATGAAGCACTAGAGCAGCGGTGAGATCGCGACGCCAGTAATGGATGCCAGTTGAAATCGTCTCGGGGACCGTAAGAATCTACCATAAAATTGCCGCATTGTCGCCGGCGCTCGGCCGCACGCGGGCATGCCAAGAGGACTTGGTACGTGAGCCCTTGCATTTTTCATGTGCGACTGAGCCTCGGTCTAATCCGAAGGCTCTGAATTCGCAAGCAGCCTGGATTTAATCCACCAGGTGGAGATCGGGAGTGGTGGCAGAAAAAAAAAACAGGTAAAAGCAACGCACAAGGGGTGAACAGAGTGAAGAACAGGAAAGAGCCAAAAAAAAAACACACACACACAGTGGCGCCGATACATAAATACACGGGATACTTACAATCAGCACCGCACTCGAAGGTGGCAAAAAGAGTCAAGCCAAAAAAAAAACCGAAATTGAGAACCTGAGGATATACCGAACAGACTCTAGGAATAGGAGCCGAAGCATACGGGGGACGCCAAGGCAAGATAGACAGAGCAAGCACGGACCGCGGACGCGAAGAAGGCACTGAGGCCGATGCGTGCAGCTGACGCGAGGAAGTACAAAGACTGACTAAAATTATCAGGTCTAGATGAAAACTACTAGACCTGCAAACCGACCATACGCGGATGATCGGTATGCGGAAGGCCACAGACAGGCATGGCGTACGAGAGGACAGCCGGATGTCCCAAAGCGTGCAGCGGATGGGAGTACCGGGGCCCGGGGGCACCCGAAGATTTTATGTGCAGTGCCGACTACTGAGCCATTTAGCTGGCCTTCGCCGGCTGGGTACTGCATCTTAAGGGTGTGCACAGTGATGACAATTCGCTATGCATGTACAGCTATATAACACAAGCGCCCATGTATACGAGCTGAGTGCGAATGCACACCCCATCGCTGTATATGTGCCTGCGAAGGAACATGCATCATACATGAAGGTGGGGAACGGAAGAAGTCGAACTTCAGGCGCAATCATATTCATTGATTGGTAAACGTTCAGAGGTGACCCATGACGCGTTCACAGGGTGACAACCGTGAATCCGTGTTAGAAGCACCCCGACCGACACTGCAATAACAACCCGAGAGCGGAATGAGACATCAGGGGGGACCGTTACGGAACTAATAGAGGCTGGAGTCTGCCTATTACGGAACGTCTTCAGTGCGAACTTCCAGGGCGTGCGGAGTCCAAAAACAGGCGCATAATGGAAAGGAAATAAATCGAAGGCAGAAAATGACTTCAATGAATCGAGAGACGGTGGGCTTTTAGTGCTTAATATGACAGCGGATGGCATGTAGCAACGAGACTAAGGTAAGATCCCGCCGGCGCTTGCCGCTGAGTCTCCTTTCCTCGTTCGCACTCAATGCATCCAACTAGTATCCTTCCATAATCGTACAAAGGCCGGCCTCATGGGCCTTGAGTATTTAGGGGCTCACCACGTGTGTTGAATGCCCAAAGATCTCTCTCCTCCATCCACTTATCAACATCGACCATCATGTCACTGCGACAAAAAGCTGAAGGTCTCAGGCGAAAGATCAATGAGATCATCGCAGCGGGAGGCGATATGGCGATACCAATTCTTACAGCCATCAATGTTGCGGCTTATATGTGCCCTCCTCTAAAGAGCGCGACTAGCGGCGCACTCCTCATCATTGGCGAGGTTCAAGTTAGTAATTATTCATGCTGGGTTCGCGCGAACAAAGGCTAATGGTCTGGGTCGGGTAGAAGTTCAAGGAGAATAATAAGGAATGGGAGGACTTTGGGAAATACGTCGTGGACAACGTGGCTGAAGTAGTTGCAGCCATAAAGTCCTATGATCCGTCAACGGAAGAGGCAAAGCCATGGGTGGAGAGCGCCAAAAAGCTTGATCGGTAAGTTTCATCCATTCTTGATAGTCTTTGTGTTTACATCAAGTCCCAGTGCGCTATAGAAGATCAAGTCCGAAATAGAACAAAGACACACAAAAATAAAGAAGCGGTCGGCTTTAACCAATGCATTGTCCCACTTGAGAGATCCGGGAAGGATTGATTCACTAAAGAAGGATCTTGACAAAGTATTGACGTCGTTTCAGGTAATTGTCCTCACGGTATCGTTCCATGATCCCTCTGATTTTTCCTGATGCAGCTTAGAACGAATTTGACGGTTGGAGTGAAATTGTCGGTCATCGAAGGTGACTTGATTCTTGGCGGACTCCGGTACCCTGATGTCGCGCATCATGACTCAACTCAGGCGTGCCTAGAAGGCACTAGGGTGGGTCTTACGGAGCGTATCATGGCATGGTGCCACGACACTAGGGACAGCGGGCACCGTGTCATGCTACTCACTGCTGTGGCCGGTGCTGGAAAGACTTCGATTGCGCACACGATTGCAGAACGATGCGCAAGGGATCGTTCTCTATTGCTAAGCTTCTTTTTCAAGGCGGGTGAGCAGTCGCGGCCTGATTGTCTGTTCAGCGGGATGGCACGAGCATTAGCAAAGCGCGATCAGGTTTATCGCTCCTCCATTATCTCTGCACTTCAGGACGATCCTACACTCTCAACAGCACCGTTTGCGATGCAATTCAAGAGATTGGTGGCTCCACCCCTCCTGCATACACCGCCACTTTCGGACCATCCTATGGTGGTCATCATCGATGCTTTAGATGAATGTGACGATGAAGCATTTGAGCCCCTTGCGAATATTCTCCGGGAAGAAGTGCCTAAATTACCATCCTCCATAAAGTTCTTTATCACGTCAAGACAATTCGATCGTGTCAATCGCTTCCTCTCATCCCATTCCCCAATCGATCGTCTTTCCATTGATCTCTCGGATGATGCAAACGTGCACGATTGCGCTACATATATACGTTCCCAGCTGGAAACACTGAAGGATTGTCATCCCGATATGCAGCATAAGCTTGAGGACGAGGAGAAAATGGTAGAGGGAATCTTGGAACGAGCAGGTGGCTTGTTTATTTGGATCAGTACCATTTTTCGCTACATGAGGAAGGCTAGCAAGGACCCTATTCGGACGCTGGAGGGGCTACTCAGCACAGGGGAAAAGGGATCGGCGGTTTCTGCTGAGGGAATGATGGATCGGTTGTATACAACCATTCTGAAGAAGTGTGGTTGGCAAGTTGAAGATTTTGTGCATGACTATCCGGTTGTGATGGGAGCAATCTTCGTTGCACAACAGCCTCTGTCTGTTGCAGCTTGGGATGCAATTTTGTCACCGTCCTTGAAGTCGTCGGTTCGATACATGTTGGCCGAACTTGCACCTCTCCTGTCAGGACTTGAGGATCCTGACAATCCGATTTGCATCTTACACCAATCTTTCCGCGACTTTATTTTAGAACGGATTGACCCCCAATTAATCAGCCTTCGTTGCGGTCCAGTAGATGTGGGACAGGAGAATGTGAAAATTGCCCTCCGATGTACTGAGATTCTGAATCAGGATCTCTCCTCTTTAGAGGGCCTCGGACTGATTGAGGGCTTGCGGAGACAAGATGTACTACCGCGCATTCCTTCGGAGAAGTTATCTGAGCACTTGCATTATGCATGTCGCTGCATAGTTTATCACCTCAGTGGAGTCCAGGAATGGTCGCAAGAGCTCGATAAATCAGTTGCCATATTTCTGAGTCAGCAAGCCACTCGCTGGGTGGAAGTCTGTGTGAGAATGGAAGGCTACATCAGTATTTCGGTACTCCCTGAGTGGTCTAAGGTGTGGACTATCCATTGTGTTAATGAAGTTAGCTCATGTTTTCCCAGTTGGTGGTTGACCAAAGGTCAAAAGATGCTGTCTGCATGCTGGTTCATGTGCTTATCCATCTCCGGTTGAACTTGGGATTTTTTTTGAGATTTAGGGAGGCATATGAGGCAGCAAAGGATTCAGTTGTGCTTTGCCGTTGCCTTGTTTCTGTGGACTCAGAGTCCTACACCCCGGAATTGGCCAGGTCACTTGGCACTTTATATTCGGCTCTTTCAGATCTCGGACGGCACTCAGAAGCACTCCCATTCATCATGGAAAGCGTCAAACTCGGGCGTGAGCTGGTTGCCATTCACCCAGGATCATACACCCCAGATTTGGCTCAGTCGCTCAACAATCTATATCTCTCTCTTTCAAAACTTGGACGGCACTCGGAGGCACTCCCATTCATCATGGAAAGTGTCAAACTCCGGCGTAAGCTGGTTGCCGTTCACCCAGGATCATACACCCCAGATTTGGCTCAGTCACTCAACAATCTATATCTCTCTCTTTCGAATCTTGGACGGCACTCGGAGGCACTCCCATTCATCGAGGAAAGTGTCAAACTCTGGCGTGAGCTGGTTGCCACCTACCCAGGATCATATACCCCAGATTTGGCTCAGTCACTCAACAATCTATATCTTTCTTTTTCAAAACTTGGACGGCACTCAGAGGCACTCACATTCATCATGGAAAGCGTCAAACTCCGGCACGAGCTGGTTGCCATTCACCCAGGACCATACACCCCAGATTTGGCTCAGTCACTCAACAATCTATATCTCTCTCTTTCAAAACTTGGACGGCACTCAGAAGCACTCCCATTCATCATGGAAAGTGTCAAACTCCGGCGCGAGCTGGTTGCCATTCACCCAGGATCATACACCCCAGATTTGGCTCAGTCATTCAACAATCTATATCTCTCGCTTTCGAATCTTGGACAGCACTCGGAGGCACTCCCATTCATCGAGGAAAGTGTCAAACTCCGGCGTGAGCTGGTTGTCATTCACCCAGGATCATACACCCCATATTTGGCTCAGTCACTCAACAATCTATATCTCTCTCTTTCAAAACTTGGACGGCACTCGGAGGCACTCCCATTCATCATGGAAAGCGTCAAACTCCGGCGCGAGCTGGTTGCCATTCACCCAGGATCATACACCCCAAGTTTGGCTCAGTCGCTCAACAATTTATATCTCTCTCTTTCGAATCTCAGACGGCACTCGGAGGCACTCCCATTCATCGAGGAAAGTGTCAAACTCCGGCGTGAGCTGGTTGCCATTCACCCAGGATCATACACCCCAGATTTGGCTCAGTCACTCAACAATCTGTATCGCTCTCTTTCAAAACTTGGACGGCACTCGGAGGCACTCCCATTCATCATGGAAAGTGTCAAGCTCTGGCGTGAGCTGGTTGCCGTTCACCCAGGATCATACACCCCAAATTTGGCTCGGTCACTCAACAATCTATATCTCTCTCTTTCAAAACTTGGACGGCACTCGGAGGCACTCCCATTCATCGAGGAAAGTGTCAAACTCCGGCGCGAGCTGGTTGCCGCTCACCCAGGATCTTACACCCCAGATTTGGCTCAGTCACTCAACGATCTGTATCTCTCATCGAGGAAAGTGTCAAACTCCAGCGCAACATAGTTGTTGTTCACCCAGGATCATACAACGTAGATTTGGCCCAGTCACGCAACAGTCTATATGGCACTCTTTCGAATCTCGGATGGCACTCGGAGGCGCTCCCGTTCATTGAGGAAAGTGTCAAACTCCGGCGTGACCTGCTTGCCGTTCACCTCGGATCATATACCCTATATTTGGCTTGGTCGCTCAATAATCTATATCTTGCTCTTTCGAATCTCAGACAGTACTCGAAGGCGCTCCCATTCATCCAGGAAAGCGTCAAACTCTAACGTGAGCTGGTTGTCATCAACCCAGGATTACACACCTCGAATTTGGATTGGTCGCTCAACGCACTACACGCCGCTCTTTCTAACCTCGACATGACCCCGAGGCACTAATTTGAGCAATTTGGGTCCCCCTGAAATCTTGGACCTTCCTATGTTCCCTTTCATTGCATTCCCTTGTTGCTACTTGTAGTGCACACGGCTCAGTTTGAGAATAGTGGGGGGTTGACAGTCATTCTTGATTTGGGAATATTGATGAAACGTTTACGGGTTTTCTTGACTGTTTGGTTCACGGCCGATCGTGGTCCTAACTTATTAATATCATAATATCAAGAACACTCATTTATTTGTACCCACTATTGCCCATGTTTCCGTGCAGGTAAGTAACCCAACTGTATACAACTCCATGTAGCACGTAATAAGCTTCAATCAGATCCTGACACCACAATCAAATAGTTCGTAGACCGAATGCCTGTGGAGCCATCGTCATTGATGTCAAGTAGTGACGAGTAATTGAAGCACCCATTTCAACTCGATCTTGACAAGACACATATCCGAGCCCAATGCCGCCACTATATATACACTTTGGCAATGTCCATGACCCAGCTAGACCAATTGTTGAATTTCCAGCATGAATTTGGAACATCTCTTGGCACCCCATTTCCATGTGCAACTGCACACCCCGATGGTTGGGATTGTATTCAGCTAGCTGAGCCATTGTCCAGCATGATTTATTATTCCGCAGCAAAATACGGGCCATCTCAGCCAATAAGTCCCCAGGTAAAGAGAGTTTCGAGGAGGAATGCCTCCTCAAAGCTATTGCTCAAGGACCGCTCAGAAGTCGCTGCCATTCCGTGAACTTCTTTTGCAAACGGCGTTGCTCTTTTCTGTGAATGTTCCTCGACCAAATGAATGGTGGGAGCAGAGCCGGCGACTCAGATCGAATTAATCTCCCTCGGGAGTGTAATGCCTATCTCGAATGGCGGGACGATGAGCAATGTTAGAATCCTACACCTGCATGTTAGCCCTGGGCCTCCAACGCTTCAGATCGATTGCCCCATCAGTGCCCCGATGGACACAATTTGAAAACCCCGCTTTTTGCATCTCCGGGAGTCGGTATTGCTGCAGGACCGTACGACCTCACTGCGAAGACCTCAAAATGATTGTGCTTCAGTGGCCTCAGTGTTAGACCTTCATAATTCTCCGGGTCACATCAGCCACCACCTACTATGTCGCCTAGGATAGTCGATCAGTGTTCTGGATTGGTTTTCAAACTTCACGCCCCTAGGGAACGACCCAGGCAGAAGAATAGTGGTTCGAACTTGGTTGAATTCAAATTGGAATCGGAAGACCACTCTATCGCTTAGCGGACTGCATTGCTGAACAAGATCGAAAATGAAAGATCAATATTTCTATCTCAAATAATGATACTTCTCAATGCTCGACTCGTAGTACTCAACACCGTTGCTCCCTCCGAATTTGAGAGGTCCCTTGGAAATCGAGAAATTCAGTTTCGTACAAGCCCCGTTCACTGTTTGTGGTATCGGATTGGTAACGTCGGGGAATCCACATATATGAGCTAGTCAGCTTTGCAGCATGCAACAGATACACTTCGCGCTGAATCAATATGACCCACATTGAGCACCACCTAACGAACCTGGTGATGCTCTGCTGTGTATATTTGTCATAACCGCCATAGGATCGATGATGATATCGTATATTCTAGCCGCGAAGGAAAAGGTGATGAAAAATGGACGGCACAAAGGCCTCACCATAAGGAAACCTGACATAAAGGTACTCAGGATCAACACTTGGCGATAGAAGTTTATGAACCTATCGGCGCCGGAAATGTCGTTGGACATTATTGTTAATGTGCACAGCAGCAGTGGACGAAAATATGATTGCTGAGTACACATCATGCCATACACCCGGTGATATATCTGGACGACTTGTCCAGAAGTAGAGTGTGTATATAGGGCCAAATCTTGTACTGTTGGATAAGTAATCTGGCGAACAGCCCCGACAACCGCTGAGGTCTCCAAGCAACCTGGATTAAATACACTGAGGTAGAGATTGGGTATGGTGGCAGAAAAAACAAGCAATAGCAACACGCAACCAGCGAACAGAGTGAAGAACAGGAAAGAGCCAAAAAAAACACACAATGGCGCCGATACCTAAATATACGGGATAGTACCCGCCAAAGACCACAACACCTTCACCTTCAGCGAGACCGAATACTTACAATCGGTACCACACTCGAAGGCAGCAGAGACTCGGGCTAGCATGGATAAATTAGATCCTGATGATACCGAATAGAGTCTAGGCATGTGAGCCGAAGCATAAGGCGGACGCCAGAGAAAGATAGACAGAGTAGATACGAACAGCGGACGCGAAGCAAATAAAGAAGGCACTGAGGCCGATTCGTGCGGCTGATGCTAGGAAGAAAAAGGATTGAAATGAAATATCAGGTCTAGAAAACTGCTAGACCTGCAAACTCACCATACGTGAATAATCAGTATGCAGAAAGCCATAGGCAGCCTGAGGAACGGCGTACGAGAGGACAGCCAGATATCCCGAAGCCTGTGGTAGATGCGAGGGAAAAGATACGAGTACAGGGCCGGGGGCACCCGAGGATTTTATGTGGAGCTAGGGATTGTGTCGACTGCGGAGTCATTTAACTGAGCTTTTCCAGCTGGGTACTGCATCTTAAGCGGGTGCACAAGTAATGACAGTTCGCTGCGTATGCACATTCATATAACACAAGCGCCCATATATACGAGCTGAGCGCGAATGCACATGCCACAACCACACCCCATTGCTGTGTATGTACCTGCGAAGGAACATGCATCATACATGAATGTGAGGAAGTCAGACTCAGAGTCCTGATTCGATTCCGGTTTGTCAGCGGAATGGCAAATGTTCAGCGGTGACCAATGCATTAAAATGACGCGCCCACAGGGCGACAACTAAGTGGATCCGTGTTGGAAGCGCCCTGATCGACACTGCAATAACAGCCCGAAATCAGAATGAGACATCAGGGGGACCGTTGTGGAAAAAACAGGCGCTTAGTGGGAAGGAAAGAAAGTCGAAGGCAGAGAACAACTTCAACGGATCGAGAGAGGGTGGGCCTTTTGTATTTAATGTGACAGCTGATGGCATGCAGCGACTATAATATTACGAAGTCGTAGAGGCTGGAGTCCTGCCTACTTGGAGTTGGAGTGCCTAATCATGGCGAATTCGGTTGCAAATGATCTACTGCACTGCCACATCTAAAAAATGGGCTCCGAGTCCACCCCTCGAATAGACACACTTATCCTTGATACGGGGCCGCTAGTTCATGAGGTAGCCCTTAGGGGAATAGCTAAGGCATATGTGACGGTACCTCAGGTTATCACTGAGGTGCAGTCGTCACATGCCAGAGCGTACCTCGAAAGACTTCCGCTGCTAGGCGTCGACATCAAAGTTGTCAACCCAAATCTCTTATCATTCCATAAAGGCGCGGAAATATGGTGTTTTTTGGGAGTTCCCTACTGATGTTTCTTTTATAGTTTCCGAGGCAGCGAAGAAATCTGGGGACTACGGTGTCCTCTCCAGCACGGATTTGCTTGTGTTGGCCTTGGCACATACCGTTCACACCAAAGCGTCATCTGAGGCTGACTCCACTACTTCTACATCCAACTTTTCAGAGAAATCTGTGAGTCTAATCTAGGCCTTGCGGATTATGTCTTGAATGACTCTGTCTTTAGGGATCAAACCCCGAACAGCCAGAACCCACCCAAAAGGATCCTGGATCCTACCAGGAAAGTAATGCGACAAATAATCCCGACCCCTCGTCTTTGGAGCCTTCGGGCATTGATACTAACGATGCGGACGATGGCGACGCAAACCCAAACAAGGACAACCATGGAGATGAGGAATCTCTAGATTTGTCTGGTCTTCAGATATCAGAACTCCCAGAAGAGCCCTCTGGATCTCGCCCTCCGGCTCTTGAAGTGGCCCCACTTTTCGAGGACCCTCCCTCTGATGATGACGGGGAGGGCGAATGGATCACACCTGATAACGTCTCAACAATGAAGGCTCGTGATGAATTTCCGGGGGAGTTTGACGCCGATCTCGGGGACGAGCAGGCTCGCCTGAAAGCGGCATGCATGACTGCTGATTATGCGATGCAAAATGTCCTAATGCACCTCCATCTCCCTCTCATTAGCTTTGAAGGGAGGCAACTCATGGAAGCGTCAACAAAGATGCTGAGATGTCATGCTTGCTGCACGTAAGTGGAATTCATATTCCTTATCGATAAGCCCCTGATACTCTGCACAGCCTAGTTAAGGATCCGACAAAAAAGTTCTGTCCAAAGTGCGGGAACGCAACTCTCACTCGAGTATCCGTTTCTACGGCAGCACCACCTCCTGGGTCTCCCCCGGGCACTGCTCCCACTGTCCACGTCCATCTGAAGAAAAATTATAAACATAATCTTCGAGGAACGATATATTCGATACCACTGCCGAAACCAGGTAGCAGGGGTACAAATAATATAATTCTGCGCGAGGATCAAATAGAATTCCAGCGCGCGGTGAAAAGGGTGCGAGCCCAAACCAAGAAAATGGAGCAGAAAATGAAGAGCGCGGTTGCTGCGGCGCAGGGTAGGGACGGCTGGGCAGATCCTGATTGGATGCCAAACATGCTGCTTGGAGTATCGACCAAACCGATACCAACACTGCCTGAGATTGGGTATGGTAGACGAAATCCACATGGAGCTAAGAGGAAGAAGTAGGATTCCGAAATCCTTCGTTCAAGCTCCCCCATTACGTACAGATCTATGTATCCTGCACGGTTTTCGGGCCTTCATTCCATTCATTTCACATATGCTTTTGAGTCTAATAACATCTTTTGAGTCGACGAGTCGTCGCTCTCGTCTCTCTTTGTTTTTGAGTTTGGTGACGGTACCGGATCCAATTGCATGCTACAATTTGCAACCCCCCGCCACAGCTCCCGCCACCTTCATCGCCATCCTCGCGCGTCAATTTACCCTTGCGCTGGCCCGCGTCCAGTCCGTAGACGTGATGGCAGCTGCTGTCGCGTCCCTGCCGTCTTTTTTTGATGCATCATCTAGAGATATTCCTAGCGATAAGCTGGCCCAAATGCCCTCAGAGCCTTCAACCCCTGGACCCTCCATTGGAAATAGCATCTCAAGCCTATCCGGAAGCCTTCAGAAAAACCTTATAAGTGCTTTGATTGCAACCCCTATTGCTTTTAGGGAAGCAGAGGATGCGAATCCAACCATCCAACCCACGGCTAACATGATCCTACTTGACGATACCAAGCTCTCTGAGAGTTCTTCAGAGCCCCATTCTAAGGTAGATAAGTCTATATGTGCA